CGGGAGCGTCAGATGGATGCTCGGTTGTCAACTCGGCGACAAGCTCGGCAGATGGGTCTACCCGAGCTCTTTTACCAGCACGGTGTGGAGCAGGTTCTCGGCTAGACTGCCCGGTCGCTTGAGAGGCAAGAGCGACCACGGCGCCGCTGGATTGACCGGCGGCTGGCGAGCGAGTGACAACGCTCGGCATCTCGACAGAAGTGGCAGTCAGCAGGTTCTTGATTCTGCTTCGTTTGGCCATCTCTTGCTTCTCGGTCAAGCGAATGAGTGGAACGTCTAGCAGAGTTGGATCCGGTGGAGGTGTTGGAGCGCGGAGGAAGTCTGTTACTCTACTCCGGCGCGGAGCAGAGTATTTGTATGTGGGACTGTAGCCGAGCAATTGGTTGCAATCTCGGTCGCGATAGCGGAGCGCGGTCCTGATTGCCTCTACGTTGGGGAATTGATAGTTGGCTTGCAAGGCTTGGATTGCTGCAAAAGAAACAGGAAAACCGGTTAATTACAGTACAAAGAGTTAAGCTGACCGAGCAAGTCTGAGCGGCTTACATGAGGAACCGAAGTTCTTGTTTATAAACTAGCCCGGTACCTTGGCTGTTTCGTAATTGCCCGACACCCAGAAAAAATCGTCGTCGTGCATATCTTTATCCGGGGTGCCGGTTACAATTTTCTCCTTGCCCGATCTGATTTTCAAGTAATAGGCTAGGCCGTCACCAGTGTGACCCATCGTGTATTGCCTCAATATCTCGGCTAGACCCAAGTTGATGCCTAGCCGATTGTTCAGTTCATGGACGCCGTTGATAATTCGATAAGTGTTGGTGGACACTTGTGTGGGTGCCAGCCCGGTGCGGCGGAGGAACTCGGTGATAAGTGGGTTTAGTGGGAAGCGGAGGCCTCCTTCGACGATTGATAGCACGGTGAAGGGGCATTGTTCTGTTCTACCCGAAGACGTGGTCTCTTCATCTGCGAGCTCCAGGTGGACATCGGCCGGATGCCGTACTCCTCCCTAAACGCAGTTAGGGCACCCGGAGTATCAACGAGGAAGCGGAATTTCCCCATTGACGACCGGCTAAATTAGCTCGGCTTTGGTTTGGCACCGTCAGGTGATTTGTGGCTGCTTGGTCTTTGGGAGCCTCAGGATTGGACAGTGGTCCCCTTAGACTCTGCAGGAAAATGAGGGCAAGTGTAAGTGTGAACGCGGTCGCGCGAAAGGAGCTGGACTTTAGCTCGGTCATTAAGGGTGCCAAACCACATCGGTCGTTTAAGCTAACTAAGGAGTTCGGTTGTCTAAGCCAACTAAGGAGCTCGGTCGCCCAAGCAGACCAGTTGTTAGCCCGGTTGAGCGACCAATTCCTTTTGTTATCTCGGTTTTTGCTAGGGTTGAGACAAACATATTATTTGCTCGGTCAGATTGGTTTTTTGGATCAAATGAAGACCAGGAGCCCGGTCCGCCCCAGTTCTTCAGTGTTCTTCATGAAAAACGAAAAACACCATGAACAGTTGCAGGTTTTGGACGATTTCTATGGCTACGACCTAAGAACTATGTTTTAGTGCCCTAATGTGAGAAATATTTAAGAAAATAGCAACAAAAGAGGGGTCGGAGGACTTACCAGTGAAAGGCAGGAACTGTTCCTTCGAGCACGAAGAATGGTAGACGAGGCTGGGAGAAAGTTGCTTGAGCTCTGAAGCGTCGGATTACAGAGAAGCAGTAGGAGCGAGTTGAGGAAGAGGGGGCTTGTATATATAGACGAAGAAACCGCCCAAATTCAAATTCCGTCAAAACGGCGGGTTAGCTGCTCGAGAACCAATGGCAGCCCGCCACGTGTCCCTATTTATGGCGACGTCAGAACTGAAGAGACAGGTTGAAGAGTCAAGGAGCCCACCGGGCTACTTTCAAAGAAGAGGAAGTCAGCCGAGGAGTATAACCGGGCAAGTTGGCAGACAGTGATGTTAACTAGTCCTGTTGCCCCTTAGCATTTTGAAGACTGAAAAAATGTTACCCCGGTCGAAGTATAGATAATCCCAGTCACGCTGACGCGGACGGAATTAAGGGGCAATTGAGAGGGAGATTTATGATCTGGAATTGGGCCGAGGCAACGGCCGAGCAAGTTGAGAGCCTAATGGTGCATGGGGCCGAGATGACCGGCGATCCGCCCGGAGATGGGCTGCCAGGACTTGGGCCGGGCAGGAGTTGGGCCAAGTATGTGCCGCCCCAGATCGTAAAGAAGCTGCTCGGCAAGGCAGTGCTCGGTTGGACCGAGCTGCTTGATTAGGCGATGGTGGAGCCTGTCAAGCTGAGTGACCGGCACCCGAAAAGGCTTGGTCAGCCGAGGTAATCGTTTGATCGGCAGAAAGGCCGGCCATAGGAGGTGCCCCGGGCTAGGCTTTGCTGAGATGCCGCCTAGCCCGGTCCTCCTTGGGCTTAGCCAGTGAAGTGCTTGGGTATGAAGCACAGCACGGCAGCGGATAGAGCAGCTCGGCTGCCGAGCTCCAGCTGAGAAGGCAGGCAGTTGAGATTAGGTGATATTCAGTAAGGTTTATGCTGACAGATGGGATAGCGGAGCCACGTGTCAGGAGATGACTGGGAGTGGATATGGGGCGCAGAGGGTATATAAGCATGTCTCCGCCCCCCATACGCGAGGGACGAACACTTTGTAAGGAATTCTTATACTTAAACACTCCTCTCTCTCTCTCTCTCTATCCTAAGGTGTGTGCTAACTTGATCGTCGGAGGGTTTTTCCGGCCACACACCGCCAGGTAGCTCACCGTTATTTGCTCGCAGGTGATCAGACATAAACAGAGCTCGGAAGAAAGGAGTACGAGTTTGCCGGAATATTTGCTCTCCGTACACTAAACATTACAAAAATCATAATTAAAGGTGCATACTGTTGTTCCAACCCACATGCATGAAAAACATGGGAAGGCAACCAACCAAGTCAAGCTTGGCAGCCACCAACCATAGCAAAGGTCAAGAATGGAGGCTACCCAAGTCAAGAATGAAGGCTCTCCCACCTACTCCTTTTGTGTATAAATAGAGATGGGAGGGAGAGGATGAGAGATATCAGAAATTGGAGAGTAAGAGCTGTGAGTTGAGTGAGTTTCATCTCCTCCTCTGTATTTTGTATTTTGCTCCATTTTAGTGAAAATTCTCATTTCTGTCCGTGGATGTAGGCATTGGGCCGAACCACGTAAATATTGTGTTCTCTGTGTGTGTGTGGTATTTTTCTGGGTGTGTGTTTGATCCTAACACATACGGAGAGTGGAAAGGTCCATAAGATGATATATGAAGTTGGACCAATCGGGAAAAAGTAGAATATTTAGCAAATATCCGTTATGTATTGCAACTGATATTCAAAAAGATAAATTTTCCATTTTTTATTTTCCGACCTTTCACCCCCCTTGTAACTGACCCCCCTTATTTTCCGCTCCCCAAGACAAAGTCCAAATTTATCACCCCTATCTTATCCTCTCCTCTCTGTCTCTATATCTCCCTCAACAAGAAGATTGGTGGCCACTATTCTATTAAGATAAAGACAGAGAGCCTGCACAGAGGGATCACATTCTTGTTAATTTCTGGGGTTTTTTTTTTTTTTTTGGGATAAAAGTTGATCAACTTGATCTTTCATTCAATAATGGAGAGCGAGAACAGAGAAGCCAAATCAAATGCAAGAGACAAAACCCTAACCAGGCTGCAGAAATGCGCACCACCAGCTCTTCGGCTTGATCAGATCACCACCAATGCGAGCAATAATTATCCATCTTCCAATGAGTCTAATGCTATTCCGTTGTTATCGCCTCTCATTCTCTCTCCCCTGACAATGCAGGAGGAGGAGGGAGAAGAGAAACTATTCATGGAAAGCAATGATGAGAAAGATAGCAACACCAACAACAATCTGACATTTACGGTACCTCAGCAATCCTTCAATGGTTGGCAACATCCAGCTGTGGAGGCATTGCCAGACGCTTCATCGCTGTTTACTTTCTTTCAGTCCCAATGCGTGCTTGTCAACCGTGTGCAGTGAGAGGCTTGTCCCTGCAGCGCACTCTTTGATGATGCATCTCGCGTTTCCTCAATTGTGTTTGTGATGGAATAAGTTTTGTTGGTTGGTATTCCGCACAGAATTTTATAGGATAGAATGTCGGCGTCATTCTATGAAAATCTTCTATGTACTTCCCGTAGTTTTTAGTTTATCTTAAAACTGTGGGATCCGATCTTTTTTCCCTCCCCATCTCCTCCATTCCTCTTGTTGCCTTCAATTGCAGCTTCAATATTTGTTGTCAAGAATATTGTACAAAATAAATGGTAAAAAGAAAGGAAAAGGAACATAAATGATTTAATTTTCTGTAAATCATTCAATTTATTAAAAAAAAATTATAAACAATAACTTCTCCATAATACAGAAAATGATTCAACTGGAAAATATTTCCTTCATGAAAATTGTTAAATGTGGAACTCACATTTTCTTGCACCGAATCAACATACAAATTAGAAAATAATTTTATTTTTCCTATCATTAGATTTGCGACACATTTTAATTTGTAGAATTTTTATCTCTTATCCGAACTAGATTGAAGGGAAATAGTATGACTGCAAATGTAACTTATTTGCTTTGATAAAGAACGGGTGTTTGCTTCCAAATGAACCTAAAATATGTTTCCACAAGGCGCCTTAAAAGCAATCCAATAGAACCAAAACCCGTCAAAGATGGAGTAACCAATTCAACAAACATGATTGTTACATAAACACATAAACCGCTGACGGCTCCAATGGGGTATTATATTTCTTGCTAGCTCTAATATCATTTTTACAATCCGTAAAGCCTTCTATAGTTTCCTTTTTTTTTTTAAAATTAAAAAGAAATAATAATAAACAAAACTTTTTTCTTGGATTAATAAAACGAAGAATCCTAAGCTCAAAAATGAAACTCCTAAGACCAACTGCTACAAGTTGCACAAACCAAAACAAAAGGAATATTTAGTCACTGAACCCCACAAATTTGAACAAGGAATGAAAACAAACAATTGCAATTCATTTAAATTAACCAAAAATATCCCAAGTATACAGAAATGGAATTACACATTCCATCAGAGAGTTTCAAAACAAAAACAAAAAAACTCCAGCAGCCATCCATTTAGTGCCGAAAAGGCTGTCGTCCCTTTATGTACAACTGGCCAACCACTGATTCCTCCCAAAAGCACCAAGCATCTCATTCTCTTCCTGCAAGCTCACTTAAGTAATAATAATTAAAAGAAAATTTAGGCAATGCCCTGTGTGTGACATCCACAGATTTGCTCTCAGACAGCAACTGCCAATTTTGTTGGCTAAGATTTCTCTAACAAAATCAGAAATCAAACTCTCCAGTTGCCTGAAAAATAAAAAGCAGCAAAGTAACAGGAACTTTTGAAGTTAACAAGGGCATGAAAGAAGATAACCCAATCACTTGTCACATAAAAAGAGGTTAAGGTCGGTTCCAAACACACCTTATTAAAGAGAATGTCTTTATTGTTTATGTGCATAATGCCATCCTTTAGAGTACATTTCCACCTGCTCTTGGTCCGCGTAACCTACCCACACAAATGCATGAGGCTATTGTCAATCATGGACAAACAAGAACAACCACTACCTGTACTTGAAGAATGACAACATACCTTATCAAACTGAGCCAAAACTAAATGATGTGTGTTTAGCTCTTCTCCCTGGTCCACGTCATCCAAATCATCATCATCGTCATTTTCATTCAAGGGCTCATCGTCATCATCTTCTCCAATATCATTCTGAGTGACAACAGCAGGAGTACCTGCTTGATCTAAAAGATGCAGATAATAATTAGCTACAAATTCAAAGAGAAGACCTATAACAGGTTGAACTTATCTAGTCCAAAATATATTATAAGTATACCTACCATTTGGTGCTGGTGTGTTCACTATATTGTAGTCTTCATTGACAACTCCTCCTTGATAATTGTATATCTACAATACATTAAGAAAGCAAATCAGTTTACAAAAGGAACAGCTGCTTAGTTAATCATATTTTTCATCTTATGTATCCCATGTAGGAGGGAAATGATCATATCATAATTCAGATTCTTATCAAAGGCACATGTAGAGGAAAATTCACATGCAAATTATCACATTTCATCCATATATGCCTGAAAAGGATAGAAGCAGCAGCTCACATTGGGTGTAGAAAGCACATCATCATAAGGATCAGGAATTGGCCCATCCAATTGAGGAATCCTCGAGGACAACCCCACCCCTTGTGTGATCACCTCTCTGTTCGCAGCAGTGACAATATTGCCTTCAGTATGACTTACCTGAGATGACCAAAAGATGATTTTAAAAACTTCATAAATGTACATAAAACACGTGATACAAAATGAATATAAACTTAAAATTAAAAGTGATGCCAGCACAAAAGGATCCTTCCACCAAAGATGGACCAAGAAGCAACACGCTAATACCAGAGCCTATAAATAGATATATTCCAAATTGCAGATTGTGTATTATAAAAGGGAATCAAGAATCATTTTGGAAGTCACTAAATTATATTTGTTTGTGTGTGAAAACAGTTGGAGAGAACTCAAATTATTCCCATTCCCCACATATGAGCATGCTTGAACAAATGAAAAAGAAGCTAAAAGAGAACTGCAGCAATATGCTCTAATCGATTACTAAACGTTTCATAGTCATTCAGCCCACTAAGAATGAAAGAACAACAAAGCAATTGCCCTAGCCTTAGTGTTCTGAAGTGTCCTTGTTTGATTGCATACCTTATTACTTGTAATGACTGATCAGCCTACTACTAAAGTTTGAGGTTTGATTATCCTCTGTTGAGTATAAGTTTGCTATATAAATAATTCATGCATAGATACTCAGGCTGTGGTTTGATTTATCCTTTTTTTCTCTTTGTTGGAGAGACTATCACGCTTGATCGAGGGGTAAGTTTGACCTTTTTGCATAAAGTTCACTCAAATCTCTAAAATTAGTCTTTAGTAAACCACGGGTTAAATTATGATGAGGCATCAAAAAGAGCCATTCACAATATGTTTCAGAATGGGCAAGAGGCTTACTGACTTAATGGTTAGCATTCAGTAATTAGTTGTGAAAAGAAAAGTTTTAAACTGATGAAGGACAAGATTTTAAGAATTTTTATATTTTTAGTTTAATATTTTTGATATATCATTTGATTAGGATTCTTGTAATTTAGTATAAACATTTTAGAATTAGGTTTCTTAATTTAAATTTATTTTATTTTCTAATTTCTTAGGTTTCTTGTTTTCTAAGAATTAGATTAGTTTATTGTTTCTTAATTTGAGTTTTCTTGGTGTCCAGGAATACTTGGTCTCTAAGGTTTATATTATAATAAATAGCTATGTAAGCCTCATGGCAAAGATAACTTTTATTCAATAATATTCAAAATTTCCTCTTCCTTGTGGATTCAAGGTTCTATTTTTTTTGTCGGTTCGATAACCCTTTTCGTCTACTGGAACAATATCTAGTCCCCATATATTCCGCATCATAGACTCATGGAAAAGCATTCTCTCTAGTATCATACATGCAAGCATCAAAGTGGCGAACTAAAGCAAGGCATCAATTAAAATATACATGTGGAAGCAAAGAAGCACCACCTGAAAATCATCAGACATAGCATCTCCAGCTCCATCCTGCTGTGGTATGAATCCACCATTCTGATATTGCGAAGCAAAATCCTCACGTTTCCGCTTTCCAGAAGACATCATGAAGAAATCCTATATTTTTCTCCAACATTAAGATCGATAATGAAATACATTAATAACACTAAATAATCAGTTTAAGATGAAAGCATATGTAATAACAGTGACACCCACTCACTACGTATCATTTCCAGCTTCAACAAGAAAATAAAAGAACAAAACAAAGGAAGAAGTGCAGGAAAAACATGCTCATAATGTTTTTTACCTGTTTTTCTTTTTCCATTTTTTTTAGAAACCAAAAATCAAATTTCAGGAATTCAGTACGCACCAAATCAGTTTGAACATAAAAGTTGTGAAACAAAGAGAAAATCAGTTAAAATATCAAAATTGGGTATGCTAACTTTCATCAAGCAATGAAAATGTTAAATAGTATTACTTACAAGTTACAACACAGTGGAGTAAAATCAGTTAGCTAAAAAAAGAGAGAGAGAGGACCCACAAATTTCTTTTGCTTGATAGTCACAAACTCGACTAATAACCACCTCACAACCTCTATTCTTTTTATACTGTCTTCATTGCAATTCATCTCGGCCATTCCTGTCTCAACTCGATGATGACCTCAGCTTCAGCATTACTGAATAAAAAAATACAAGGGAGTCCTGCCCTCTGTATTCTATGAATCAGATTTCATCTTCCTCCATTATTACCTTGCCTGATGTGAATGGAAACTTACATGTCACATTCGCAGATTCGGTAATCTTCCGTAGATCAACATCCGCCGGAACTCCTCCTGTGGTCCTGCCCTCAATAATCTATGAATCAGATTACATCTCTCTCAATTACTTCCTTGCCATATGTGATTGATTACAAACTTTAATGTGACATTTTGAACCTTTGGTGCATAAATTTCCATTGTCAATTGTTTCATCTTGACGACCTTCCAACACCAAGGGTTGTGCTTTATATTTGGGGATTATCCAACCAAGAGAATATGATTTGAATTTTGAGGTACAAACTATATACAACACCCCTCTTTTTGCTCACAAATTTTCAGAATTTTTTGTTTTCCTCTGATCTTTCAGGGGTTGTGCAGTACTGTAGGGCCTGACTGTTTGTGGTAACCATCATCATAGCCTCGTTCTTCCTTACATGGTTTGGGGATTTAAGCCTTGTTGATCCTGCTAACTACACAATTTTATGATGACACCCATTTTTGCCTTATTTTATTTTGGTCGTGGGGCGGGGGGTTTTAGGGGTGTGATTGCTGAATTTGTAGCAATCCAAATGTTTCCACAGAGTAAAGAGACAAAAACAAATTACAACATACTTGTTTCTAGTTTTTTGGTTAAAAATAAAATTGAAGATTTGTGAAAAGGGCCCCCAAAAAATGAAAAGGAGATGTGCAAACCCCAATGCCAACTACAGAATAATCACCTGCATTGTGGGTTGATGAGGTGCTCCCCTGTCCAGCTCTTCCCGCCCTTCCACATAAGCTACAACAAGATGAAAACATTTAAAGCACAAATGTTGGGATACTCAATGATGCACCTTTTACCAAAATACCTACCAACATTAACATCAACGCTCAAAGGGGGCCGTTGATTCATCCAAGCAGATGGTGGTGGCTGTACAATGCAAGAAAGTATAATTGACTCCAATAACCAGGCCCAAAATTACAATTTATACACCAAATTTAAGCCACAAATCAGATAAAAATCATTCACATGAGAATTAAATTTCAGAGAAACAAAATACGGACATCTCAACTCAATAGAAAAAACATTAGTGAATCAAAACCCTGCACTACTAACAACTGCTACAGTGTTTACCATGTATTGGCTGGGCCTCCCAGCTTTCAAGTCAGTGACACCGGCAGTATCATTAACAGAAGTATAGTCACTAGGAGTGATGGAAGTGCCACCAGTAGGAATGTTATACATCGAGCTGTCCGCAGATCCAGGTAGAGGAGTTTGGGCAGTTCCGGGTAGAGGTGTTTGAACCATTCCCGGTAGAGGTGTTTGCACTGTTCCCGATAAAGGAGTTTGAATGGGAGTCTACACGTAAAACCCATATCAGAAATGTAAACATTGAATTGTACAACACATAAATTACTTAATTTCATGAATAGAACAACAAAAGGTGAAACTTACTGGTGGAAACAGTAATTCAGCTGTGGGAGTTTCATACTCCTCATTCCCCTCATACGGTACATTAAGATCATGAACAGGTGTAACGGAGGCCCCCGGCGTCGTCGACTTTGTCGCCGAGGACCTCTCAATCGGACCCAATATAGCACCCGCTTGCATCATTTTCAATTCCCATATCTATCAATTCCCAAAAAGATCAACAATTTCAATTTCAGATCCGCAGACCAATAAATCAAAAGACCCAAAAGACTATCAGATCAAAACTAACAATTCATCAATCTCGATACAAGAAAATAACAAAATTAAACACGCTAATAAACCGTAGAAGCAATTGTGAAGGAGATCGAAAAAATTACTCCTTGGAGCTCGGTGAGAACACTCTCGCCGGGACAGCCGTTGTTGAGGAATTCTTCTCGAACCTTGTTGATTACATCTTCGATGACGTTGACGTAGACAGTGCTCGTCGTCGAACTCGTCATCTCCCGAAGCTCTGTCTACGTTCAGAATAAGAAATACAAAACACCACCAATCTCAAACGAACGATACAGATCCTCGAGAGACTGGTAATTGAGATGTGTCTCGGAGAGAGAGAGACGAAGAGTCGAGAAGGTTCTGTAGTTTGGGAGGTGGTGGAGAGAGTGAGAGAGCTAGAGAGAGAAAGAGATGGGGGAGGGAGAGAGAGAGAGAGAACGGCGGAGGGGAGGGATTGGGAGATGGAGAGAGGCGGACCAGAAAAGGGGAATAAAGAGTGGAATATAAATAGGTTTGCATCCGTTTTATTCGTGTGGACACGTGTCGATATCTGCACGCTCCTTCCCTTTGTTGCCTGGTTTCGGATATATTCGTACTCTTTTCACTGGAAAAATTGAAAATGCACGAGAAAATCACAAATAATTATTAGTATATTATAAATGATTATTTTATTTTTATTTTTTTTTATTTTTTTGTGTGTAACTCCAATATATTGGAAGAGTTGTACTGAATATAAAATAAATTTACACCATAAATACATATAAGAGAATTATATTTTTATGAAAATATAATTTTTTTTCATTCAAATTTAATTTTTCCTATAAAATACAAGGGTAAATTATAGTGACCTCCCTACCTTTTAGTGTGTTTGCAAATAAACCCTTTATTTTAATGTAATGACACTCACTTCTTTTGTAGTTTCCTACTAACTGACCTAAAATAAAAGTTGAATTTAATTGAATAAAGCTTTGGATCTTCAGTGGGGGTGTTGGTGTCCTTTTCCATTGATCCAAAAAAATTGTTCTCCTTTTTTTTTTGTTTTCTTTTGTTTGTTTTCAGCCAATGACAAGCTGGCACGTGACACTGGGGTCACTGAAGATATGTAGCATTGCTGAATTTAATTATTTAATAGTAAATTGGAATATGTATCAATAATTTTTTTTCCATCGTCCAATTATAATTATTGCACGCCACTCTAGTTCTCTTTTTTTTCGTTTCAAAATTTGTTATTTTGCGAAAAACAAAATTCACTTACTATTTTCACACCGTACATCGACTTAGTTGATTAAATAAAATAATTAACGTGATCAAAATTGATAGGTAATAACAATTGAAAGTGAAATTTGTTTTTAACCTTGTACACCATAGCCTTAGCAGATAAGCCACCTATGATTCTTTCAATAACGATCATAATTGATTTAGGGGTTGTTTGGGGTGTCTTAAATAAGTATATTTTTTGTCTTTTTGAACTAAAAAATTGAGAAAGAAAATATGAATATTTGGGTTAATTTTTTGACTTTTTATGAAAAAATGTGTATTAAAAAATTGTATAAATTAGTGTGTAGGAGAAAATTAAGATTGGGAGTTATGCAGCTATAATTTTTTACTTTTAATGAATAGTGATAATTTTTTAACTTTTTAAATAACTTTTTAACTTTTTGAATAATTTTTTGACTTTTTGGCAACTTGCCAAATTTGGCCTTAAATTGTAAGGGTGTATTTGATTGACCAAACTGGATAAGAAAGTTTAGAATCCATTGGATTTGAATCCTGAGACTATAAATCCTTCGGACTATTTGGTTGGATTGGATGTACATCCTCTATTTATTTTCTCATGAGATTAGATGTTTAGAAAAGACTATTTTTAGTAAATTCAATGGTTGGTTGGATGGACTGGATAAGGATTATATGAAAGGGTTCAAGAACGTTGTCGGAAAATTCAAAGATCTTTGAAGAAAACTCAAATTCTCTAGAAATAATGAGAGACTTAGATTTTTCAACAGTCACAACTAGGAACACAATAGCAAAGAGATGATGGAGATAAGAGATTGGGTGAAGAAGAAGACAAAGTAATTAGAGAAAGAATAATTGAAAGGCTCTCCCATGGATCTCCTACTTTCACTCTCAAGATAGATAATGGAGAAGGGAAATTAGTTCTTTCCTAAGAGTTGTTTCTCCAAAATCCATCCCTTGTAAAGCTATGGGTGTGTGCTATTTATAGGCACCTCATGATGTAGGATGGAGCCCATGTGCAAGGCACATGGGGAAGATTTCCTCTAACTACATTATCTGAGGAGGTGACCTCTCTAAAGATGAGGAAAACCCCGAAGAGGAGATCAACCTCTCAGCGAACCCTTCTTTTTAGCCACACATAACCAATGATCCTCAATCATTCTAAAGGATCAAGGGTAGTCTAAGAGGACGTCCTGCCGCAGAATGGTCAGGGGTAGTTCAAGAGAATGCCCTGCCGCAAATATTGCCGAGTCTCAAGGACCCCCTAGATCGTGTCACCTCGACCCGAGTATAGACTAGTTTAACCGAAAAGTGAATTTTATCTCCACTCACTGTCCTCGGGATCGGGTCCTTTGTTTGGACTCCATTACGTCCATGGTTTTGGTGCATAGATCCCGAAAAGCTCCGAGCCGGCAAGTTTTCTGGGACTCATTAATGGAGCGGCTTCTAGATTGTGTCTGAATCCATTTGAAGCCAAACGCTTCGAATCTCTAGGTTCGTAGATCCGAACCCTTTTGAGTCCGAGCTCAAATAAGTCTCTAGGTTCATGGTTCTAAACCCTTTTAAGACTAAGCAAATACCTCAGAGAATGGATCTCCTTCATGGGTTTCATTTCTTCTAAAAGCAACGGTTAACCTTCTGGAACGCCGGTATGATGGGCTTGTTGGACTTTCTTTAGAGATATCTGCTTGATGGGTCTTCCTTGGCCCAATTTCTTGACTTTGTTATGGGCTCATTCAATAGAATTCACTTGGCCTGTTTGGCAATAATTTATCCAAGCTCACCAATTTTTAGGCTTTCCGATTAGGCTTCAATTGGGCTCAATTAATTAGTGGACTCAAGTTAACCCCCCTTACATTTTGCCCCTTTCATGTGTAGGAAATTTTGAATTTCTTGGACATGCATATTTTCACTTCTTCGGCCATGTTTTGCATCACACTCTCGGAAATATTTTGCCTTCATATGACTTTTGGATAAGATTGATGACTCATCATAATTAATGGATAAGATTGCCAACTAGTAATAATAAGAAGGAATCTTTTATCTTTATGCTATGCTTGGCAAACACACTTTTGTGCCTTTGATTTTTATTTTATTTTTTTCAAGAAAAAGAGTTAAAACTTGACTTCTTTAATGTTCCACCAAGAATGATTTAAAAATTATGTTTGGTTGTGATTTCTGTATGAGAGGGTTCAAGAACGTCGTTGGAAAATTCGAATATCTTCGAAGATCCTTGAAGAACAACTTCGAATTCTCTAGAAGATGATGAGAGGCTTAAATTCTTCAATAGTCTCAACTCAAGAACACAAGAGTAAAGGAGATGATGGAGATAAGAGATTGGGTGAAGAAGAAGGCAAAATGGCTAGAGAGAGAATAATGGCAAGGCTCTCCCATGGATCTCTTACTTTCATTCTCAAGGTTGAAGGAAAATTAGTTATTTCCCAAGAGTTAATTCTCCAAAATCCATCCCTTGTAAAGCTATGGACGGGTGCTATTTATAGGCACCTCATGATGTAGAATGGAGCCCATGTACGAGACACATAGAGAATATTCTCTCTAACCACCTTGTCCGAGGAGGTGACCTCTCCGAGGATGAGGAAAACCCCGAAGAGGAGATCAACCCCTCGGCGAACTCTTCTTCTTAGCCACACCTAACCAATGATCCCCAATCATCCCAAAGGCCCGAGGTAGTCCTAGAAGACCCCCCCGTCGCTAAATATTGCCAAGTCTCATAAACCCCCCGGAGTCGTGCCACCTCAACCTGGGTATAGGCTAGTTTAACCGAAGAGTGAATTTATCTCCACTCACCGTCCTCGGAATCGGGTCCTTTATTCGAACTGCATTACGCCCCTGGTTCTGGTGCGTAGATCCTGGAAAGCTCTTAGCCCGCAAGTGTTCTAGGACTCATTAACGGAGCGGCTTCTAGATTATGTTTGAATTCGTTCGAAGCCAAGTGCTTCGGATCTCTAGGTTCGTGGATCCAAACCCTTTCGAGTCTCCGAGGGGGTGACCTCTCCGAGGAGGTGACTTCTCCGAGGATGAGAAAACCCCGAAGAGGAGATCACTCCCTCGGCGAACCCTTCTTCTTAGCCACACCTAACCAATGATCCCCAATCATCCCAAAGGGTCAGGGGTAGTCCCAGAGGACGTCCTGCCGCAAAATATTGCCGAGTCTCATGGACCCCCCGGAGTCGTGCCACCTCAACCTGGGTATAGGCTAGTTTAACCGAAGAGTGAATTTATCTCCACTCACCGTCCTCGGGATCGGGTCCTTTATTCGAACTCCATTACGCCCATGGTTCTGGTGCGTAGATCCTGGAAAGCTCTTAGCCCACAAGTGTTCTAGGACTCATTAACGAAGCGGCTTCTAGATTATGTTTGAATTCGTTCGAAGCCAAGTGCTTCGGATCTCTAGGTTCGTGGATCCAAACCCTTTCGAGTCTGAGCCCGAGTAAGTCTCTAAGTTCGTGGATCCGAACCCTTTTGAGACCTAGAGCGAATTAGGCCGTTTTGATGGTGATTAATCTGGGCCCATCCATCTTGGACTTGCAATAAATTTGGGCCCACTAATCTTGGGCTATTGGGCCTAATTAATTTTTTTGGACTCAGATTAGCTCCTCTTACATTTGCCCCTTGCGTGTATGAGGAATTTTTTAAAAAAAATTTCGGACACGCATATTGTCATTTCTTCGGCCCTGCTTCGCATCACGTCCCAAAAAAAAATGTTGTCTCGATAGAGCCTATGGATAAAGTTGATGACGCACTGTAATTTACGAATAAAATTGACAAGCAAAAAAAATTATTTTTTTTACTCTTTTTTTTTTTGGTCCTACTGAAATATATATATTTTATAACATATGAGAAAAATACACATATTCATATATATATTTTCAATCCAAGCAAATAATAACAAAGCACCCATATTTTTTTATTCTCTGAACAAATATGAAATGCCAAACAAGTGGAGTCAGCAGACCGTTATGTATAGATATATATGAAGGAATATGTGATGGAATATACCAAGCATGATGCCTCTCTTTTTTTCTATTTAAGGAAAATGACCAAAACCCTATTCTGTGGCTCTTCATTCTCTTTGTAGCATAGTCGTTGCGGCGTTCTCTCTCTCTAGACCGAGAGGCCAAGTTTCTTCCTCTCCAAGAAGGCTTCGTTTCTGCACTGCCAGAGGCCACCGCCATGCTCTTCTTCTTCAACAAACCACATGGCTCCGCTTGTGCACTGACCTTCATC